TTTCCGGCTTCTGAGTTTTCGCTGGTGTCGCTTGAGAAGGTACTTGCCGCCAAAAGCTTGGTGGCTTCAGTAGAGTGCTTCTTCTTGTCGCCATTGAAAAGAGCAAGAAGTCTTCGCATTGTCTTTCCTATCTGCGTCGTTTGCACAATCGTTTCCTCCTCAAGGACCTGTTGGTGAATATCTTGAAAAAGCTTAATTTATGCTGTTGGTTGGTTAAATTGCCTCCGGTTTTGACAAGGTTGGATAACATGGGAATGCCGAAACAGATCCCATCCATTGCCTTGCTGCCACCTAGGACCGGATACTACTGATAGGGATTATGCTACGCTAAATGAGCTGGGCTTGGAGCTACGGTGACTATGACGAGGACGTGAATTTGTTGGCAGTTGAAATCATGCGGAGCCGGGAATTCTTTAGAGGGTTGATTCGATTCACTTGTGGTGTTGTGGCCGAAGCAACACGAAACAAAACTGTTCTTGCACTTCTGAACACACTTCCCCATCAGAATGGATGATGACTTTGGGGGTGCAAGCAGGTTCGAGTCTTGAGATCTTTTAAAACTTTGAAATCCACTCAGTTTTTGTGGGACTGAAAATCGCAGGCTCTGATGGCACGGCACATGCACAGTGCTTGCACTGTATTCGAAAACAACAGTGGATCCACGCCTTTAGGCTCCAGCAATTAGGCCGCGAACGAAGCAATGTCAGTTACCACTACTTCAACGCACAGACTGCCTATCCAAGCCAAATGACTCAAGAGACAACGAATGCAGATCATGTGCTGGGTCGACAGATCAACAGTCAATCAACAAACTTTTTAGGAAAAATGAGAGAGCAAGTCGAGCAAGTCCCAAAGCTTGAATAGTCTTGCCTGAGAGCAATTTGAACCAACGAGAACGTGGATTGATCGCATGAAGACAGCATCATATATAGAGCCAGTTTGTGACCAGGTGATTGGATGACGTAAGATGCCGAAACAAAGCCCACCCGTTGCCCTTCCGCCAGTTATAGTCATGATTATCTACTGCACATAATGTGCATATGGGTTCGAATTTCACTTTTGCATGTAATCTACTGCCATCCATACTTTTGCGTGGACCTAAGGATGCTCTAGCTGTCATTGAACAGGGTTTCCCTACCCTGTGCACGTGCCTTGGGGTGCACCTGCTCTAACTAGCTTGGGAGCATGTTTTTTTGGTCTTGATGAACTCAATCAGAACTTGCGCCGCTAATTAAATCACCACAGTCACTCTCTCCGCCCCAATGTTATCGATTTAGGGTAGCGGCACGGTGGGCAGTCGTACTCATAGTAGCCTAAAAATAAAATTCTATTACGGATGTAAATCACCACAGTCACTGCATTCAAAAAACGGTCCCAATAATCTTTGTACCAAAACTAACCTTACTCCTTCGAAGAATTTTCTCCGCTGAAGCAACCACCGGAAAAACGCGACTGCTGAGTGGAACTGCCCCATGTCAACACAGACAACCGGATAAGGATATACTTTTTTACATACTCATTAGAAAGCGCGGTTGAGTTATGTTGTAGCGCTTTAATGGAAAACAATTTCGACCATTCTAATTGATGGTGATTAAAGCTTCACTAAGATTTGAAACCAGCAGCGATGCGAGACAGCCAAGAGATTTCTCAGTTGCACGAGAAAACAATATCAACTAGTAACAAGACATGGTTTCCCGTGAGATAAAATAGAAAAAAGAATACAAAAGAAGAAGAAGATGAGTGCAATCCTAGGCATGAGTCGTCATCAGAAGAAACTCGACAAACTTCTGTAGTCTCGGTATTGGAACATAACCTCACTAACAGAACACACTCGATTTCATATAGATCAAGTATTTGCATACAAAGGACTTTGAAAAAATCCGACTTGAATCAATAGAGACATGATATGAAAATACTGGGACAGGAAAATTCAACAGTAGAAAAAGTATCAAAGTTTCTACAGGCAATTTGCGAATATCTTTAGAGCCCCTCCAATCCGAACACCCTTAGTCAATTGAGTCCGAAGACTTAGTATAGTTGACACCATTGGCTTCCCAAAATTCCCTAAGATAAGCATCTTCGTCGGTTGGTACATCAAAGTGACAAATGGGATGAAGATAAACCAGCTGACTGTACACGTTACGTTACATTGTGCAGTTTTTCTTTTTCTTTTGCCTGTGGAAAACATGTTTACGGGATAGCATCACAAGTGGAAACCGGAACCGATTATTGGTGACCGCGTGAACATCTGCTCGTTGCTGATTTCCATCGACCAGTAGTTTCTTCGGGGACTCCGTTGTGGCTTCTGGAAGAGGTGAGTTGGAGATTCGAGTTCAGTGAGTAAATTTTCTCAAATCATGAAATCGTATGACCAGGGAGTTCAGTGAGAGGTGTGAGGCATGAGACGATTGATTGGAGAGAGCCTGGTAATGGCATTATAGTTTGGCTGAAACAGTCCGGTTCACCCACATAAATATATTTATAATATTTAGTTCTGCTGGATGCCCACCAGAAAACGCCCGCAGTGATCACGGCTACACATATTGTCGGCATGCAAAGTGTGGATGGTGTGGAACCCACGACGGAGCAAGGCCACACGTATAGCGATAGACAAGGGATGGTTGACATCGACAGCCAGCCACCGTCATTTTCACATTGGCTGAGGAGATCGCACATGGCATTGTCCAAGGAGATGGAGGCACCACGTTCCACTATCTTGGCTTGGGAGGCGAAGTCCAGGACACATTTCTCTTCGTTCTGTCCTTGGGAAACACTGTCTCCTGTAGCGAGCGGGTTTGTTGTTTGTTGATGGCAGGGCAAAAAACTTAACGAAGTATGATGTAAGCTTCACCTCAATAGACGAATCCGCTGAACGGTGCCATAGTGAACCTGCATACATCAGACACACAAAGGTGCCCACTTAGGAGTGGGCCTAGTGCAAGCCCGCCACCGGAGAAAAATGTTTTCGCGTCATTCAAAGAGATGCACGGTCCCCTTTGACCCGGAGAGTAGCACAGACGGTAAAGGTGATACCGCAGAGACAATGTCCCAAAGGTTTTGACAGTGCTGATTGAGTTGTCTTGCCACATAAGATGCTGATTTCAAAACTGTTCAAGTTTCTTTGAATGAGTCGCATAATGTCGTCAATTTAGAATTTGATCTCTTGCTGCTAGGTGCCCTGACATACCGGTATTTCATGCTCTTCCTTGTTTTAATATACAAGGTTGCATTGGCCGTTTCTTTTCTTCCCTGGCTTGCAGTGCGGGTTTTCATTTTAGACTCGGTAGAGATGGCGTTTTTGGTGAGCTGTTTTGGTAAGTTGCCCTTGAACATCTCTCTCAGGTTGGAATTTCGAACTGTAACCATGAGGACTGGTCCTATCCAGCTTAAATGACGTTCGTACGTACGCCAAATCGCAATAACTGCCGAATTCGGAAAGGTGACCTCCAAATCCACACGTACGGCGAACCGCAGAAAATGTTTATAGTAAAAAAGTGGAACTGCGGTTCGCAGGATGAATGGATTTGGAATTCGCGTAGGACCAATCAGAACTCATTATCTCGAAACTAGCTATCCCCAACTCTAGCGAGTTTCGAAAATCGAAAAGTGAGATCTCGAGCACATCCTTGAATCATTGAAAACGAAAAGTGAGAAGAAGAACATGTACTAGTAGCCATTCGGCAGCCAGTAGCCCGTTGTCGTTACAGTCACTATAGCCAGCCACACAGCCACACTCTTGTCATTGTCGTCATGGACTATGAATACGAACAAGATGCCGCACTACTTTTGCAGCTCTTTATTTTAACGGTGGGCCTTTTCCTGTGTCTACCGGGTGAACCTAGGAATCCTTCCTTTTTCGAACAAAGGTTGGCTTGGAAGCGCTACAGTGAGAAACACCAGATGCATTCGACGTTTACAAGACGACTTAGAATGTGCAAAGGAAGCTTTGACAAGCTGCTTTCGTTCATAGTTGATGACTTGCTAGTAAACGAGACCCAGGCTGTGAGAAGAGGAGGTTCCATCATTCCCGAACTGTGTCTCTACTGCACGCTTCGATATTTGGCTGGTGGCTCCTATCTGGATATTACGGACATAGCGGGAATATCCAAGAGCTCGTTCTATCGCGTATTATGGAAGACAATAACGGCAATATGCAAGTGTCCGCAGTTGAAAATCCGCTTCCCCAATACAGAGCAGGAAATAAAGGACGCAATAGACGGCTTTGCAGGGATATCCGATGGTGGCGCCATTAGCAACTGCGTGGGAGTTGTCGATGGGTATCTTATGCGTATCAAGGTTCCAACCAAGAAGGAAACTGGCAACATTCGAAGTTTCTTTTCCGGCCATTACCAGTGCTATGGAGTAAACATCCAAGCTGTCGCGGATCATCATTCTCGGTTTATCTTCTTTGCTTATGCTGCTCCTGGAGTTTCAGACGACCGTAATGCAATGCGGCAATGTGCTTTAAACGGTTTGGTGGAGTCACTTCCATCCGGTGCTTGTGTAATCGGCGATGCAGCATACATCCCCACAGAGTGCATGGTGCCAATATACCAGGGTACCGACAAATTGATCCCGCTCTACGACAATTTCAACTTCTATGCCAGCCAGTGCCGCATTCGTGTTGAAATGGCCTTCGGTCTCATGCAGATGAAATGGGGCATACTCGCACGGCCTCTTGGCTGTTCCTTGAAGAACATGCTATGGTTGGCTCAGGCTATAGCTCGTCTACACAACTTTTGCATCAACGAGCGCCTTGAAGCAGGCGGAACTGTTGACAATGGCACCGTCAGCACAAATGGTACCGGTTATATTCCCAGTGTTCCACATGATGACGATGGGGATCCCGTGCGGTTGGACAATATCTTCAAGGGTAGCTTTGAGGGGAATTCCTATCTACGGGAATTCATGGCAAAAAGAATCAAAGGTCTACAGCTACAACGGCCTTCGCGTAATAAAAAGCGTAAAAGGAGAGAAGACGAGTAATACACGGCTTACATTTAAATATTAGCGCCAGTTTCCTCTGTTTCAATAACTGACTTGGCCGGCACGATCTTCAAGACCGCTTCAAGTTGTTCGATACGAACTTCCATGGCTGCAACCATACGTGCTTTGGACGAATCCCCGTTGCGGATATCCGCCTTCAATTTACAATACCGATCGCCAATGTCGAAATAGTCATTCCAAACACTCGTTTTGGAGGCTTCATCTGATGACATATCTTTCCTTCGGCTTGACATTGATTCCTTTAGATCCGTACTTACATTGGCGAGAACTTCCATAACGGCCACAACAGCTTGCTTGCCACCTTTGCCACCGCTGGAATCGGCACTCCCAGTAAATGCAATCGTAGAGTCACTCTTCAAATTGTCACTCATAAACGCGGCGAACTTGCCATCAATGGCCGGATGTATGAGGCAAAGATGGTTACAGTAGTAGACAGCAACCGCCGGTAGAACTGCAGTAGATTGCCGGGGTTTAGTGAACTTTGGATTTGTGCAGTACGTCCACAGATCGTTGCTGCCCTCGCCAGACTTCTTCATTTCCAACTGACATCTCTCCCGCGCTTTCATCAAATCACACACAAGCTGTCGAACTGACTTAAAATCCTGGCCACGATTGATGTCATTTAGGTTGAAACCGTGTTCTTCGTTCCATGCAAAGAGCCTGTCGTCTTCCCCCTCGAGCAGCCCTAAGACGGTATCGAAGGAGTCGTCCGATGTCTCGTTCATTTCGCTCGACACAAGAACCCAAAAGTCCTTCACCGGATTTCCTGTAACTCCATGCTCCGAGAGAGGCTCTTGTTCGTAGTCCTTTCGTTGCTTACCGTCGTTGAGAGCAACAAAGTCAATGAAATTGTTAGCGTGGAAGCAAATATTCAACACTTTAAAGAGAGTGTTGATCCTCTTCGTTGCGGAAGAGGACCCTGGGTTGGAAATAGATTGGTCGTTGTACATCGTTCCCATCTGAACACTGCGGGCAATCTCCATCCTGCAATCGAACAGTTTCTTGCCACCTGCTCCCTTTACTCCACACTTTAGAGTAAAAGCGCGAATATCCTTGCTGTTGAATTTGGTTAAATCCAAGACTTCCTCGGTTGGTTGTCCTTTACGCATTGTGAATGACACAGCCACACCGTAAATCTCGCCGTCTGAAGGGCTCTTCTCTTGCCCGATTCCAATTTTATTCTTGTGATTAGCGTGCTGATACGCACCAATCATTTCTGCTACAACCTTGGCCAGCCTAGCATCTTCGGTTTTCTTGGCAATCTTATCGTCTTCTTTCTTCTTTGCCAGCCTAACATCTTTCGCTCTCTTTGCAATCTTATCGTCTTCTTTCTTCTTCTTTTGAACCTGTTTGGCAGCTTCCTTGGCGGCCTTCCTCATTGCCGGTGAGGCTGATCTCTGTGCGGGAGAGGCGGAGGTAGACCGTGCATGTTCCTTAGGCAAAGGAGTCGTCCTAGGACGTGGTGGTCGTTCCCGTAACTCCTGGGCTTTGAGTTGCCCCATGTACATATCTTGGGCAAACTCATCATCGTAGTATTCCAAAGCTGGTGGCGGCACTACAAGAGAATGCTGTTGATGCAGTTGCTGTATCTGCATCTGGTGTCGGTGTTGTATTTCATGCAAGCTAAGACGTGGACGAGGGAGGGAAGCTGCGACTGGGGATGCTACTGGGGCTGCGACTGCAACTGGAACTGCGACTGCGACTGCGACTGGGGCCAGGACTGGGGCAGCACGGCTACTCCTCGATGACGACTCAGACTCCTCGGCTTCCGCTTCTTCTCTCTTCCTCTTGTTCCGCTCGTCAGACTCCTGTAGTTGCCGTCCTATATCAACGGACCCATCGCTGCCATCTTCACTCATCGTGACAACGAGTGGAGAGTGCGGTGGTTCGATTCGATTACGGTGATAGGAAGAACTCAAAAAAAGGGAAATTGTGGTGAAAGAGGAACCACAAAGGGATCCACATACTTGCCTGCTGCATCATCATGTGGATCAACAGGTGCACGAGGGCTAGCCCCCAACGAGATTCTTTCAAAGAACAATCATGTGCTATTATCACGAGATTTCCTGGCGCACGGTGATTGCGTTTTGGCAGAATCTTGCTGGATGCTCACCCCGATGATCTCGATAGAGTTGGGGATTCACTCGAGCGTTATGATTGGTCCTACGCGAATTCCAAATAATTCCAAATTCACACGAACGGCGAACCGCAGCTCCACTTTTTTACTATAAACATTTTCTGCGGTTCGCCGTAGGTGTGAATTTGGAGGTCACCTTTCCAAATTCGGCAGTTAAATCCATTTATTTTGATTTGGCGAACGTACGAACGGCAGTTAAGCTGGATAGGACCAGCCCTGAACGGACTTGTCTCTTGAACGGTCTCATTTATTTGTTCAGCGCAAATGATGATACAAGATCGTGGGAGTGGAACCAATGCGGGACTACCTGGTACGCAGCTGCTATGATGATGATGTGGGAGAGGATATTAGTAGTTGCGGCACAAGCAAGCTTGCAGACGAGCGATGAATGCTCGAAAGGACTGTTCGGCAGAGGCGATGTTTGTTGGAGCGATGGCTGATTGCGCACAGTACCGGTATGAAGCTATAGCTAGCATCATGCTTATTAAGTTACAAGGAACTTAGAATGCCAGCCAGGTACGAAAGACTGTCCAAAACTGTAGCGCAAGTCACTTTGCTCTGCAATATGTAATGCTATCCTCTGTTTTGGAGGACGAGCTATGGACGTCAAGCCAGTTTTCCTTTACTAAAGCCCTTGCGTTGCCTGTTTGGTGTCCACCGAAGAAAACATACAGTGTAGGGTCTACTTAGTAGTAGTTGTAGCTGATGCTTTCTTGATCAGGCCAATTGAGTCCGCCTCTTAGGATAACTGTAGTCTACTGTACCTCGGCTTTGACTCCAGGTGGTTGGCAAACCTTGCCGCAAGTGCAATCCAATAGCTGTCTCTGGGGAGTCTGCGTACAAGAGATGACAGAGGAACTACTAGACTAATACTAGCTAGCTACTCGTACCTACTATATAAGAGAGAACTTTCCCCAAGTGGAGAATCGAATCTTCTTTGGCACAGAAATCGTGACCATTGTCAAGCTCGGCCCGTGTGTGACTAGGATCGCGGGTTGTTACTTATGGTGAATTTGATAATTTGGAAGCAAGATTTAACAGTGATGTCTCAGTTCCTCTACAACTTAGTTAGAGAGTGCTTCATTAGTGTCCGGTTTCAGAAACATGTGAGAAACATATGAGCAAGTACTTTGGAAAACAACACGGAACCACCATCCGGATCCGAGCATCAGGCGTGAGATCGCGTTGCTTTGGTTGTCTTCTTACTAAGTAGTGTCTTCTTAGTGTGTTGGTCATGGTCGACGAGTGCTTGAATTGAACTGAGTTGAATTGATCCTTTGTGTTTGTGAAGAAGACGAACAAGAGCAAGAGCAAGAGCAAGAAAGAAGATCTTCTTAAGACGAAGGATTTACAAGATGGTTTTCTCTAGCAGAAGCAGTCGCGAAGACACAATGCTGCAGCGCCTCTTTGAGTCTCTACGGGATGAAGAAGCTCAGTTGAAGCTAGAAGATCAAGAGCAAGATGACATTGGCATTGCTGCTACCGGTAGTAGACCTACGGCTGACTTGGCAGAGACCGTGTTGCTAGATGCCTCGGAAGAAGACTATGACGCACACATGACCCCGTTCTTTGCCTCGCGTGGAAACACTCCCACACCACCAACTCATGATAAGCTGCAAGGAGGAGACACTGCATGTAGCTCAGTCAGTACCGGTACCATGGAAATGGAACTGCAGCTTCAAATGCAAATGGAACAAGCGAGTCTTGCACGCAGTGTGGACAGCCAGCAGTATGAGTACCGTCTGCCCAATGGCAATCAGGGCAATGCAGACCTATTGGGGAGCAAAAGGTACAGCTATACTCCAAATCCATTGTTGCAGGATCCAGCCCTTGATCAGCATCTAAGAGACTCGGCAAGGTCATTCTCCATGTAAGTGATACCGGTATCCAGGCTGTCTAGCTAGTACTAGTAGCTAGCTAGTCATACATACAAGCATGCAGCCATGCATCTAACACCTTTCTTTCTCCCTTTCGCAGGCTACACGCCATGGAAGAGGAAGTATCTCTCACATCCGATCTTTCCGTGTCCATGCGATCCACACCCTCACAACAAATACCAGATGATTCACTCCGATCCACAAACACAAACAACAGCACCAACCAAGATCAGACACTGCCTCCGCCTCCTCCTCTCCAAGTTGCTCGAGAACTCGTGGTCGTGCCCCCAGTTCCAAAACCAATGACAATGTCCAATACTAGTGAAACAAAACAACGATCCGTTCGATTCGCTCCATTGGAGGTCGTACTCGACTCGCCCCATACAACGCCAACAGCGAGTGATACAACAACATCCGATGATGACGAGGATGAAACGACGGTGCGAAGTGGTGCTGTTGGAATGCGTGTCCCGGTCAATGGAAACGACGACGAGAATCGCGACGATGACGACGAAGAGCTCGGTAATACCAATGGATGGGACACTGTCGGAGAGTTTGGGCTGTCGGATGCATTGCAATCATTCCAATGCCAGCCCGTCAATTCCGTGGACGTGGACGATTTCGAGCAACAGGCAGAAGAGATGAACAGTGAAGAACCGCTCGACAATTCTCTTGTACTAACCAATCATGAGGATGATGGGGACAACTTGTTTGACCAAGTTCAAGAAGCTGTACCACTCGACACTTCTCTAGTGACCAATGATGGTGATAGCAGCGCAAATGATGATGATGATGATGACGGCGTTCTTGACAAGAAGCTAGACATGAGTGATGCCACACACACAACGTTCCTCCTGGAAGATGATGATGATGATGATGCAGAACAAGATATGGAAGACGAACAAACCGAGACCAATAACGATGACAGCGAGTGGGAAGATGAACCGGAAGACGAGGAGGAGGGGCAAGTGACGGATACTACAATGAGAGAGAGACTCTTGGCGCTCTTCCCATGGCTTCGAAAACGAGGATTCGTTCTGGATGATGATGCTTCGTTGGAATCGTCTCGTCTGAGAGATGAAGAAGTGGTCGTGCCGCCTGCTGCCGACGTCAATAGGTAAGTCGAGCCGGGTTGGATCGGGTTTGTTCGGCGGACAGGACGGTTGCATGAGCATATAGTTGCTCACTACTGGCCTTTGCATTGCTTCCTCAACAGCATCAGCGCTAGGAAGGACATGACTCTTCTTCCCATGCATGGAGCCACTGCTGACACCTGGACAGACGACAGAAACGAAACATCCATGGATGATTTTGCCATGAAGAGCTGCTGCAGGTTCACCTTTTGCCAAATGTTGGTCGTGGCATTTGTCATTGCTGTCGCTACAACCGTCACGACTCTTCTTTGGGAAACAAGGAAATCATCACCCAACCCACAAGGTGCAAAACCTTTGCATCCTCCCATGGCAGTAACGGATATGTGTAACAGCGATGTGGACGAGATCAAGGAAGGAAAGCTTGACCTGACGATTACGAACGTGCCATTTGATCAGGTGTACGCCAAGCAACGAGAACTAGAGACACTCTTTCAAATGGCATACAACGACGCCAGTGGCATGTGCGAAGGACCCTACGAACGAGTCCTACAGGAAGCATTTATTAGAGACATTGCCAGTGATGGGTCTTCTATGATTCAAATTGGTTGGGCCGCCATGGCGAGCTGTAATGGATGTCCTGACTATGAACCTTTGTTTGCACGAGAATTCGGTGTTGACGGTCGTCAATTCCTTCTCAAGTTCTATGATTTCTTCAACCGTTACTTGCCCGGTGTTCTGGATGCCCCGGAGAGCCAGATTGTGTTCATGGCTTCCATCACGATCGACAACGGTGAAGCGGATCAAGTGATAGATTTTCTTCCACGACAGACTCAAGTTCCTTCACCTCCAACAGCTCCCGTTCCCACGGAAGTACCAACACCCATGTTCTCATCGCATCCCACGGAAGCGCCATCCGTGGCTTCACCTTCCAGTGTTCCAACAGGGAAACCCTCGTCACTGCCAACACTGTCTCCATCCAGTTCCCCCACCGAAGCAAAGCGACAAGCTATCTTTGACATCGTCCCGGTATCTCCGACTTCCAGTCCAACAGCAGAGAATAGCGTGGGAACTATCACCAATCTTGCTCTCTGGGACCTTTCCAGGAATGCCGTTGTGGAAGGCTACGAAAATCTTCAAGATGGCTTTGTCTTGCAGAGATCACTTCTTCCTACATCATTCACATTCATGGCGGAAACTTCTTCCGAGGAGACTGATGGTGTGCATTTCCGGATTTACGGGGACGACAAGGTGAAGATTATGCACGCGGCGGTCGAAAAGCCATACACCTTTAGCATCGACCCTTCGCTCGGCGCCCGCTGGAATTTTGACCCATCGGAAACAAGTAAGTACCGGTACCCAAGTTTCAGTTTCTTGATTCCTCATCCGACAATGGTGTGAAAGAAGCTGACGTTGCTCCTGTTGCCCCTATAGCATATCTGGTCGAGGCACGGTCTTTCGTATATGATTGGGATGAAGGACTGCCTATAGTTGGGTCAAGGCGGATTCTGGAGTTTCATATTACCGAATAGTCGTACTGGATTGTCAAGACCACAGCTACCAGTCAGTACCTATGATAGACGCGGAGTGCGTCAATAGGCCTTGCTATGACTTCCTTCGCAAGGCCCCGTTGATCCATTTACATGCATAGTTATACATTGATTTTAAATCTTGCATATCCTTCAATGCGTTTTCGCTCGCCACGATGATTGTCTTTCGAAGCTTAGACACATGGTGGTCCTACTCTGCTGTCGGCTCTCACGACAGCGACATCATGATTACCTAGCTAAACATCACGAGCAAATGACGGGCGGATCGAATGAGCCCTTTGTTGGCAACCCATGCATTAGCTCCAGCTAGCCAGCTTCAAACTTCATTTACTTGTTCGTACGAGTAAGTTTTGCTTTCATCAATCCATCAATTAATTAAAACGAATAATATCGAGAGACACATTCTCCCGGACAGACCACTTTCAAGCAATTCACTTCAAAGATGGCAGCTTGCAAAGCGCCAATGGAATGGCACCGGACTTGACGGTCAAGTCCGTTCTATGAATCCACAGTTCTCACAAATGCATAGCAGTCCTAATTCCATCAGGATTCTCCCGTCGAGACTCATGCAGATAGAGTCTTTCCAACGTGGGAGCCAACAATCCCAGCTGGCACGGCTTTCATCCATCAATCAATTAAAATGCATAACATCGACAGACACATTCTCCCGGACAGGTCACTTTCAAGCAATTCACTTCAAATCGCTTCAAGGATGGCATTTTGCACAGGGCCGATGGAATGGCACCTGTCAAGTCCGTGCTATGAATCCACAGTTCTCTCAAATGCGTTAGCAAACCAAATTCGCTAGGAATTCTCCCGTAGAGACGCGGGTTGTCATGAATCAATCATAACGCATAACATCGACAGACACATTCTCCCGGACAGGTCACTTTCAAGCAATTCACTTCAAATCGCTTCAAGGATGGCATTTTGCACAGGGTCGATGGGAATGGCACCTGTCAAGTCCGTGCTATGAATCCACAGTTCTCTCAAATGCGTTAGCAGACCAAATTCGCTAGGAATTCTCCCGTTGAGACGCGGGTTGTCATGAAGATAGAGTTTTTCCAACGTGGGAGCCAAAAATCCCAACTCGGACGGCAGGGCACCGGACAAATTGTTGCCCCACAAATTGAGTGTTTTGACACTGGACATATTTCCTAGTTCGGAGGGGATGGGTCCGTCGAGTCGATTCTGGTAGGCATCGAATGTGTCGAGTGAGGTCATTCTCCCAAACACAGTGGGGATGGATCCCTGCACGTAGTTGGAATGAATATCCAACCACTGGAGCGCTGTCATTTCCCCCAACTCGGAAGGGAGTGTCCCTTCGAGTTGATTCTCTTGGAAATACAGGTGTTTCATAGTGGAACTGAGCAGAGCTAGTTCGGATGGAATGTTTCCTTGTACGCGGTTGCGGTCCAAATTGAGCGACGTCAATAGCGTCATGGCTCCAATTTCGGACGGAATGGACCCTGACAAGTTGTTCCACTGTAGATCCAAACGAGCGAGTTGTTGGAGTCTGGCAATTCGAGTGGGAATGGTGGATCTGATTTGATTGTACGTGTATAAGAGGGACGTTAACAAGGAGAGTGTTTCGAGCTGAGTCGGCAGCAATTCGGATAGATCGGCATTCAACTCTGTGTAACTAATTTGGATGGCTTGTAGATCGGTCAAAAAGGCGACTTCCGGCGGTAGATATCCCCGCACATGAGGAATGTTGTGTTCACTGTCTCCCGTCAGTATCAAACGTCGCACCACTCGTTGTTCGCGTGGCGCTAGAGGCGGTTCCGACGGCGCCTTGTCGGCCTTGTCATTCTTTTTCCAAAAGAGATCTCTACCATTCTTGTCGTCAGTATTGTCACACCAATGAATGTTCTCGAATGGTTCCATCCAATCGCATTCTGTCTTTTCATGACTCATGTAGTATCCTCTGTCAAAGGCTGGCCAATCCCATCCATTGAGTGCTTCAAAGACAGTCGCCAATGCATAGAGTTGTACCCTGACAAAGTCTTCCATGTACTCTAGATTGGGATGTCGTTGGAGCCATTGAAATGCTTCGTACGCTGCCTTGTTTCGTTGAGGAGAAGTGTATTCTTGAAAGATAGTTCCGGCCGCATCTACAATAACGTTTTGGTCATTGAGCGTATGGGAGTCGGGAGAAACCGTGGGCGATTGATTGGCTTGCAACTCTTGTACTTGCTGATGGTGTTGTTGTTGGAGTATGACAATTCCAGCCACGAGTCCAATAATGGTGAGAATGGCAATGACGTACAATGCCAAAAATAGACAAAAGGTAGGGTTTCGAATGTAGTCTCTGACTCCTGCACTTTTGGCTTGTATCATCATGACATCTTCCTCTTCTGGTTGATGTGGCTGGTGTGAAGTGTCTGAAGAAGCTTCTAGTGTCGCTTGGTGGTGATGGTGATGCCGTGGTGGTGGCTGTTCTACATCATCTGGAGCTTGTGAGCTATTTCTTACGAGGGATGCTTCCACAAGTTGTGGTTCTGGTTCTTGCATGGGTAACGTTGGAGCGGCTTCCGAGAGAGCAGCATTGGTGGTGAGGAGTGTAGTGGTGTGAGCAACGGGTGATTGTGTTAGCGATGAGGAAGTGTGTGGCTGTAGAACGGGAGGTGCAGAGAGCCTGTGACTGATGAGTCTTCTAGTGGTGGAGTTTGGAGACAAGTTGGGAGGCCTAGTACTAGATGGGAAAGCGCCTGGTTGCTGAGTGGCTGCTAGATGCCTGAGTAGCACTGGGTTGATTTCATCTTTGTCACCAGCTACATCTCTCTCGGTAGTGCTAGTACTTGTGGCAGTGGTGGTGGCAGTAGCAGCTAGATCTAACCCATTTGGATCTTCCTTGGTGGTGGTGGTGGTAGATGTTGGGGTGTCTAAGGTTGGCTCTTCTAGCACTACTAGATGAGCTTCTATGCATAGGTAGAGAGGCAGTGGGTCTTCTGGCTACTGGTGATAGAGGAGGAGGTAGCGTACCGGTCCCGGAGACAGGAATAGCCCAACCCTAGTCTCCTCGTAGGAGTTGGTACTGTTTCTACGTGCTTCTTGCTTGGCCGCTCTATCGACTTGTGCTTGTTCATGGTTGATGGCTTGACCGCTACGGTGAGTACTAGTGTCGTCGTCATTGCCATCATCGTCAGTGCTATGTACTAGCAGCAACAGCAGCAGCAGCAGCAGCAAGCCTACTACTACTAGCGTGCATCGAGTCAATGAGTCATCGACATCGACTTCCTCTTCTCCTCCTTCCGCGGTAAAGTGTTTCAGACTCTGTAGAGACAGACGAGGAGGACTGTGGCTTGTCAGCGCCATCACTGGTGGAAGGGCTACTAGTAGTGCCGTCGCTCTTGTCTGTTGCTTTCCTCATGGTGCAGCTTTCTCTTTCTCAATTCAATCGAATTCAATTGCAATGATGGATTGCACCGGGCATTCCTGCTTGGAATTTCGGACGTGGTTTTTCTACAATAGCCAGTATGTTACTCCCGTGCAGTTTTCGATTCTGTTCTTTGCTTCCGTTTTGTTAGACCAGGACTGGCAAAAGTTGCACCTCTTTTTTAACACGAGATCCATGAGTGGACCCTTAGATTTTGCTCTAGAATTGGTGGAAAGTCACCAAACCAAGCCATTAAGATAGGTAGGGGTAACCTATTGAAGTCTATTTTCCGGCTCTATTACAACTAAAAATGATAGCCAGATGGTTGGTTCACATGAAAACCTGAAGTGTCGTCCCTGGGAGCGGCTCAGAGCGCCATGGTCGAGGTTTTTTGTTGGTCGGAGGCAAATTCAAATTGGACGATGAAATGCTGCAATGACATGGTAGATGATACTTATGCATAGACCAATGCATACAGTATGACAATGCACTCCCACCTTGTAGCGATCATCAGGTATCATCCGTACGGGTATGGCGGCGCCAGTAGCACGTAATACCCTCGACTAAGGCCTTCAAAATTGGAAACCAGAAGCAGGTCAATTTTCCTCGACGTAATAGACTGCGGTTGATCCTTTCGTCGTAAATTGTAGAATTGTAGTAGCCTGTCGGCTTAGTGGCTTCGTCGTTGGCAAAATTGGCAGCTGCTGCGGTGACTGTTGCGGTGGCTGCTCCGGTAGAGAATACAAATACCTGTCGCTTCGAGTTTCTTCGTTGCTCAAGAGGACACCTCTTCGTTATAGTAGCGACTGTCGCCGTCGCGTGGTACATCGTAGCGCGTTCTTGTTGTTGCAAATTCGGTGCCTTGTTGTCTTGCGGAATAAGCGCTGCTGATGGATGCAACTCGAGATCCTGCTGATCCTGCTGTGTAGTAGCGGTAGCGAGACGAGACTGTTGCCGATCCTCTTCTTGTCTTCTTGTTGTTAGCGGTAGCCTGTTGTTGTTGCGGTAGTGCATGGTAGCGGTAGCTTCGTTAGTTCTTGTTGTTGAGGACGCTTCGTTCGTTCGTTCGTTCGTTCGTTCGTTGTGACCTTTCCCCAGAAAATCCCACTCCTGTTGCGTTCGATGCCTTGCACTCTTCGAGGCCTACTATCGTTGCTCCGTATCGTTGCTCCGTGGTAGCTTCTCTTGTCGTCGAGGAAGATAACAACATAGCGAAACGATGGCTACCGACACCGGTATCGTCCACCGAAGGCGTCGTGTGGTGGCAGGTGGCGGCAATGGACATTGGACAAACCTCCTCTCCCCGATGGGCTCCAGCATGATCCAGACAACCTTTGAGCACCAAACCAAGTGCTCTACATTGGTTTTAGAGGTGTTAGAAGCGATCGGAACGGCTTATTTGGTTACCCCTACCATTGTGGCTGTTGCGGAAGTGCACTTATCCGCCAAAATAGCGAAAAATATTAAGGGTAGAGTTATGGATCTCGTGTTAAGTAAATTGTCCATCGTTAAATCTTTCACACAAGGATTATTTAGTGGTCGCTTCGAAACTGGTTTCATGAACCCACAAGGAATACAGGTCTGGAGTTAAATGAAATGGGTTCATTAACTCTTGCAAACATGACCCTGTCTGGAAGGCCTTCTCATTATTATTCATCGATCGAAAGACAACGAACGAATTCAAAGCACCCGCAACACCAAGCCACCAAAGCGAAAGAGAAGAAGCGACCATGAGCTCCCATGCGCCGCATGCAATAGAGATAGACGTGGACGAGATAGATGTGGACGACTTGGCATTGGTGGCCTCTTGCAGTTCGTCTGTCGCGTCGGAGGTCCCTGTAGCCACTAGCGGTACTAGCAGGAATGCTTTCAAGAAGACGGTTGCTCCAGTCACCACCACTACTAGTACTAGTACTAGTACTAGTAGTAGTGCTAGTACAAGACACACTAGTGTTGGATTCCGTAACAGCAACAGCAGCAACAGACAACCACAAGACAGCAGACAACCCACCAAGGCAACCATGGCGTTGCTCTCTCCTCCACGATCCGTCAACCAAGGACTTAATAGGCAGTCACTATCCGGTACTCAAAGCAATAATGACCCAAACCTGCAAGATCCAGAAGCACCCATGGCAACCAGCAGCCCACTGCATATGGCAGAGGGTTTCACTGCATATGATGCATATGAGGTATCTTCACAGGAACCCACACACTATCATCTAGATGCACAATCCAATCAAGAAGATCAGGCGCACCTCCCCTTACCTACAGCCACTGCAGCTACAGGTAGCTCAGCCATACCCAGTTCCTCCACCTTGAACAATCCCACGTCTTCTGCGGGAAACCCTCAAGTTATGATGAATGCAGCTGTCACGGTTGTAATGGATTCCACCAATACTACCAATAGTGCCAACAACCATGACAATGCAAACAACAAAGTGGTTCAAGCACAACAAGCTGGCTTAGCTGACTACCTGGAAAACAGAAACTTGCAAGCATCCCTGGGAGGCATTCTAGGTCTGGTCGTATGCGGAGCTGCCGTCATTGTTGCACTTGTGGTGGTATTCTCCATGTCTAGTTCCAATAGTGATCCAGTCACCATGGCTCCTACCACATCACTCACTCCCACCACTACCACCGTACCCTCATTCATGACCCTGCTTCCTACCCTTGCACCTACACATCTAGACGTCTCGTCACTGCCGCCACAACAGCCATTCAGTACTACTAGTGTACCATCGTCATCACAAAGCATCGTGCCGGCACCGACACCCATTCCTCTACTCGCCGATCTACCCGACTTTACCGTCGCCACCATTCAACGAGAACCAAACTCACCACAAGCACTCGCTTTCAAGTGGCTGCAAGAACATCCTGACATTGCGTCCATGCCAGTCTGGGAACGACAGCAGTATATCGCCATTGGGTCCATCTTTTATGCCACCAATGGAACCGCATCCTGGTCTGATGAGTCCACGTACAAGCGCAACGTTCTCAAGTACGACAAACCAGTCTGCACGTGGCTTCCCACGGAGCGAATGCCCTCCAATGGACAAATATATCCGTGTAATGGAGAGGGAAAATTGACACATTTGAGACTCGAAAATATTCAAGGCGATCGCATCGGGACACCCCAAGATGGAACCGGAAGTCATTTGCATGGGACCATGCCACCAGAAATATCGCTTCTGACGGATGTTCAAACGATTCAAATTTACAACTGTCGATTGGACAAGTTCACTCTACAAGCATTTTGGCCCACGGAACTGTCTCTGTTGCCCAAACTCGAACGACTCGTCTTTTTCCAATCTCAATTGAATGGACCCATTCCGGCACACGCATCGTCACCATTGACGGCACTCACTCATTTGAATCTCGATTGGAATAACTTGATGGGTTCCATTCCCAGCGAAATTGGGTTCATGACATCGCTCCGATTCTTGAGTCTCGCCTATAACAATGTGGCAGGTCATGTGCCGTCCGAAATTGGCAATCTCTCCCACTTGACGACCTTGCGATTGGATCACAATGAATTGTCCGGGACACTGCCCGCCACGGAACTGCTGCAGCTCACGAATTTGCGCGAATTTACCATTGAACGAAATGAATTGCGCGGACGGAATCTACCCAATGAGTTCTGCGAGCTACTGCCATCCCTCGAGACCTTTCGACTGGATTGTCGAGAAGTGGCGTGTCCCGCGAGCTGTCCCTGTAGTTGTGCGTGAAGGAATGAACGAAATTGCAAAACGCAAAACGACGATCGACGGATGATTGCAAAGGAAAGAATCCTAACGATGTTACGAGTCAAGTCGAGTCCACAAGTGGAAGTTACGACGACGCATCGATAATGGAACGAGACGAGACAGGAAGCGGCGCAAGCGATCGACGCGGACGAATTAGATCGCGAGAGCGTCACCCGCCGCTTTCCGTCACCCGCCGCTTTCCGTGCGATTGAGTTTGTTGATGATCCCCCTCGGCGCGCTGTCATTGCGTTTACTTAGTTTAGTTAAACTGTGTGGCGACTGCGGTTACGACCTAATAAATGATATTCCAAGATCTTTCTATGAAATTGCTATTTCGTTTGTGACATGATAGACTTATGATAGCGTTGCAATCATAACATGTAGCTTGATTAATATTTGTTATGCCGAGCGGGCTTTACGGATTTCCTAATCCCAGTTATTTAATTTTCGCTTCCTCTTCATCCTCGTTTACTATCGATAGTCGAGAAGCTTCTTCGTCTTGGAGTAATAGCTGTTCCCAAACCGACGGCGTAACGGGACATCGTTGCGCAAACAGAAATTCGTTTTGATATCCTCCTTCCGTTTGCACTGCCACGGTTTTTTGCAATTTGTGAGCCATGGTCCCCGTTTGCGTTCGATACTTGGGTTTATTTGGCGGATTATCATCAGTGTCCTTCCTTTGGTTGGGAGTGTCAATAGTATCAGTATCATGCTGTTCCGTGGCAATGCCCAAATACAGATTGTCCGCCCACGTTTCAAAATAGGCCGTGAGAGTGGACCTGTGGGGTCCTTTCCAAACATTTTTATTCCATTTTCCGTGCATGCAGACGGTGGCCGCTTCAAAGGAATGGTAGCATCGTAGGGGTTCTGTACTATCAGTTGCATTGTCTTTCGTACAAGTGTGCCTAAATTGGAAGACTTCTTTTCGTTTGGCATGAATGATTCCTGGCAAACAGCATGGTTTCAAGGCAAAGAAAACAATGTTTGTATTGTGATTGAAGAAATCGACGGCTTTGAGGGAGAGTGTTCCACATAAATGCACAGCTAGCAGAATGACAGGACCTTGAGAAAAGAATCGATCTTGGAGGAGCGTTCGTTGTCGAGACTTTTTGAAATCTTGTTTGGACGTGACCAATGGAATGGGCCACTTGTCCTGGTAATCTCCAGCGATGTGCGCCTTGGACATGTGATGTTTTTGTGGTTCCTGATCGTAGGTGGGCCATGCCTTGTCCATGAGGACAAACCGTTGTACTTTGGAGGGAGGGAGTAGTTCCGCCAAGAGCATGGACAGGTAGCCTAGTACCGTAAGAGCGTAAGAGACACAGGTATTTTAAGGTAAGTAAGCAAGGAGATCAGATAGATGATCAGGGTATGCTAGGCTAGGGCATAGGTTGCACCTCCTGATCCCCCTAGACTTGGCTAGACTTACCTTTTCCTGAAGCCAGGTCCACCACTGTATAGCTAGCAGTGTCATTGTCATTGCTGTCATTGTCATTGCTTGCAAAGAAAGTAAAGACAGCTTGAATGATGGGAATGGCTTCAATGAATTCCTTGGTGACTCTGTCTTTATCAAATAGCCGTTTCCACACAGATGGATCTCCATGAAAGCGTTGTCTCCACTTTCTAACGGCAGAGGCGGCCAAGTGGAAAATCTCCCTGTACTCCTGGTAGAGACTAGCATTCCCGTGGGGCTTGACAAACTCTGCAAGCATCCAACTTTCAAACTCATCGTCAGTCATTATAGTACTGCTGGCACTCTTACTACATGTGCTATTAATAGCATCGGTGTTACCAGGGGATGTCATGGTCTTCATCATCTATATGTACATGTACATACACTATAGTATAACCTTCCAGCAATAACGTGCTGATGAATGTGCGGATGAAGGTGCCAAAGATATATGAATGGATGGATGGGAATCGAATCGAATCGAAGCTGTTAGTACTAATAATATCTTTTAGAAGATACTATGAGATCACGGTGTCTGAATAGTGACTAATGAGACTTTAAATAAGAGTGTTGGTAGTCAGTCAACGGTTTTCCGTTTCCCAGTCGCCGGTAAGTTAGTTCGTCACATCCACAAAACAACTCTACTACCGGTAGTAGAAGTAAAGCTCTACTATTAATAGTACTCGTACTCAGTACTAGACAAGTACTCTACTAGCTAGAGTACAATACAAACTGTCAATAATTGACGTACGTACAGGTGTACCGTCATTCCGGACTAAAGCTTTTCATTCGAGACTAAAGTTTTTCATATGGGACTAAAGTTTTCTCTCGGGACTGAGTCTTTGCGCTCATGAGTAAATATTATTGTCCCTCCACGCGCGAGCAAATATTTCCCCTCCACGAGCAAATATTTCCCCTCCACGAGCAAATATTTCCCCTCCACGCAAATATTTCCCCTCCACGAGCAAATATTTCCCCTCCACGAGCAAATATTTCCCCTCCACGAGCAAATATTGCCCCTCCACGAGCAAATATTGTCCCTCGGGACTGAATCCTTTCCCTGGAGCCTCGAAACGTTGAGAAGTGACGGTGGTGAGTACCGTACCGGTACCGTACCAGCACTGTCAAGATTGGAAAGCAAGAAACCGTTTGCACTCGTTTTGATTCGATTCGATTCAGTTAGTTGTTGGAGCTGTAAGGAGCAACGTTGGAAGTTGTTTGCCGACAAATGCCCTAATGATGAATAATCCAGTTTTGCTTGCTGGCAGGGTTGCCCACATTTGTAGAAAGCCGAATCGAATCGAATCGAATCGTTGCTGTGTGCAGTGCTGTGTTGCTGCCGCCTGGATGAATGTGACTCGACTCACAGAATATTTTTCCAGGCTACAAGGTGATTCAATTCACGACATTCAACTCTACGATGCTCACTCGCCGCTCTTGATAGCTGGTGGCTGGACTACAATAGTAGCGACTGAGACTCGACTCAGTAGTATTTTGACGGAGATCTTCTTTTCCGAGTGCTGAACTGAAATCGTTCTGTGATTAGAGTGAACTTTCGAAATGCCGTCGAATGGGACTCCAGAGAGCAGTACCAGTACATGTAGGACGGTGCGATTGATTGTTTCATCTCATTCATTTGCGACTCCGTACTCGCGATCACTGTCCGTCTGAACGTCTTACTGTCTAGGTGTTCACGAAGCATTTCTTTCTTGGTGTCCCAAAGATCCAAAAGATCCGATGGAATCGAATCGAATCTTCAATCGGAGATCCACTAGAGTATGCCAATTGACGGCTGTCAGAGCCATTCATCAATGGCAACAGCAGCAGCCAGCGATCACTCTCTGAACATCAAATAGCACCTGCAGTCCTGCGTTAGTATGAAAAGAAGTACCAGTACCATCAAAGCTGCTAGTAGCTATGGTATTCTAGCTTGGCTGCTTCTACCCATCCTTCTGGGTACAGGTAGCACCAGTCCCAGCGTTCTACCTGTACCGGTTTCTGCGTTTTGCACTCCACGGCTTGCTACCCGTGTTGCTACCCATAGTAGTGCATCTAGTAGTAGTAGCTTTCTTAGCCTGGCCAAGAGCAATGGAGAACTAGAGAGCAGTAGTGACAGTAGTAGTGAATCAGAAGAGCAAGTGGCCGAACGACAACGGCAACTAGATGCCATGATGAGAAACCAAGAAGCCTCCTCTATGCAATCCTCCCTCCTCGGATTGGGCACTGGTACTACCAGTACCAGTACCGGTAGTACTGACGATGACGACGGGGACGAATACAAGGCCGTTCCACTCTTTACGGGAAGCGTCATCTTTCTTTTTAGTCTCTTCTTCACCTTTTATGGATTCTACGTATTTGCAACCGGAAATGATCCCATTTTCTTGAATGTCAGGCCCACCGAACCACCGCCTGCTTCCTGGTACTAACTAGCAATGACTGCATCATAACTGAGCTGAAGTAAGCTAAGCTAAGCTAAGCTAAGAATTTCTACTAGAAATGAATCCAAACTCTTACCGTAACTGCATTTTTCAGATCTTCAGTAGAGTTTCGCCAAATCTTGTTGTATCTAGCGTGATCTTACTGTGTCGTTTTCTCCTTGATTTGGTGCAGGAGAAGTCACATTGGCCCGGTTCGACCAGGAGTGGGGGATGGCCATGAGGTCGGCCACTTCCTGTAGGAGAAGCAAGCTTTACTACCGCCGGATCGTGTGTCCACGGCGTCGATCGTTGTCGTGTCCTCCGACTACCGTAGTAGCAAAAAGAAGCTGCCGTACCCGATGGTTTCAGAAATGGGACTGCTATCATGGGAGACGATGCCGTACGTACAACGGTGACTCATTACAGCCATCAAACTGCACGGAAAAGGAAGTAGTCTGTTTTCAAATAGTTACGTATCATATACCTACTTTTGGGACAAGCAAGTTGTGCATTCTTCAAGCTTCTTTCTCGAAGTCCACCGTCGGGTCCACGGCAGGAGCACTATTTCCACGGAAAAAAGCCATAAAGACCAATCCACCAACGGCCATAGCAGCAGCCAGCTTTGCACCGAACAAGAGCTCCAAGGCATAGAGGGGACACAAGACAGCCAAGTAGACAGCCAAGAGGCACCCTTGGACCGCCCAATGCTGCGCATGGAACCAGTCGGACAAATCAAACGCCATCTGCACAAAGTGAGCCACACCATCATTATTGTACGTCTGGCACAATTTGGGGCTGATCCCACCGGTGCAAACCAAACGAGGCAGAGTCATGAGCATGTGAGCAACATGGTGGTGAGAGATAATGGACGCAGAGTGGCCTTGTAGTTCCATGGTTTGGGGATCACCATTGGGTGGAGGGAAATAGCACGAGGAGCAATGCCATCCACACAAGGGTGCCATCCTGAGTCAGAGGAGCATAGATTCCTTGGCGCTGGACAGTCTTGATCTTGGTGACAAGGGCAGCTCCTCCTTGTCCATGTCCAGCTTGACTGGGAGCTATCCCAACCTTGATGGATTTGGCTGTGACCGGAGCATCCTTGCCCTGCACATAGACCAAATGCTGACCAGTGACTTCCAATTGGTTTCTTGTTCTTGCCACTTGTGGTGTGGATTTGTAAGAATTCTGTGTCAGTTGTGGCATCATTGTGGGCGAATGCATAGACTGGTTCGAATTTTTTGTTGGCGGTCAAAACCATGTCTCCAATCTTGAGGTCCGTCATCTTGGTGGGTGCTTGGCCGGGTTGTTCCACAGTGGCTTGCTCGGAAAAACAAGAGGAAGCGGGAGGAGTGGGAGCAGGATTACCAGCACCAATGCAAGTACATGTGATGACCACGTTCATGTTGCCGTTTGCAGAATAAGATAAGGTTAGGTCTTCGAATATGTTGCTGGAAATCGAGCCTCCACAAGTACTTGTACCAGAGTCAATCATCCCAGCAACAACGAGTCGAGAATTGACATTTACAGAGCCGTCACAGCTCAAATCACATATGACGTTGGTGGTTCCAGTTAGGACCGAAATTGTTTCAATGATAGGGGTTGGGACAGCCACAGCATTGACGGTATGGCAGACAGCATCACCTTGCGCCATGGCCAACAATGCCATGGTAGTAATGGTGAAGAGAGGAAGCGAAGTGATCTTCATGGTGGGCACGCCTTTTAAAATGTTAAACTTTGTCCTTTTCAAGAGCTGGCTTTATTTTTTTGTGGGCTGATACCCGTCATTGGCCTGAGGTCACGTACTACTGACGGGGAGATTTTTTTGAGTTCTGTGGTCTTGGGCGAAGTTCTTTAAATAAATACTTCTCACAGGACTATGGGCATTAAGAGTTAATCGTGCACGAATGAAATGAACCATCGCAAAGTATCCCAGACTGATGAGAGCCGCGACTCGGCAACCGGAACTGGCATGGAGGCTTGCGCGTATAGTGTACATGTACTTCATTGCAGATGCAGATCTTGACTATATGATAGTCTCGCGGACTGCTGATGGGAGACGATGCCGTATGTACCACAGTGACTCATCAGCCAAAAGAAGACAAACTGAGAAAGGAATAGATAGGGTACCTCGAGCAACTGCTACTTCAGTGACGTAGGCACAAATACAGCACAACACGACGGGGTGATGTGGCTGCTGCCGCGCAGGTTTGGAATGCGATCGGACAGGGTATTCAAGCTCGCCTCGAAAGGGCTGCTGTACTATGGCTGCTGGCCAAGTTGCTCGCCCCGATAAAGAAGAAGCGTTCTTCTGGTACCGGTACAGTAAGACCCCATAATTTCACGTTCTTGCACTTGGGGCGTACAAGACTTTGCGCTGTTCTGTGCGGGCGGGACAAACCAATCAATACATGTAAAACAACCTCGAGGTAGACGGCCGGTGTGGTTGCAGCTGGCTCCAGCCGCTACCGCTACCAAAACGGTACCAGTACAGTGTAGGATCCACGAGCAGATACTTTGTCACGGGGCAAAAGCATTGGGAGGGCACGGTATCGTATGATGAGACAAGACTTTGCAGATTAATTTTTCTTCTTCAAATAATTACATGTACTCTGAAGACTCGTTCCGTTGTGGTTAAAGATTCTTTTCTGGATATAAATGTGGTTGCGCAACTTTTGTGACAGGTTTGTGGGTGCTTCAGGCTTCTTTCTTCGCGTCCACCATTGGGTCCACAGCAGAAGCATTATTTCCATATAAAACCCACAAAGACCATTCCCCCAACAACCATGGCAGCCAGCTTTGCACCGAACAAGAGCTCCAAGGCATAGAGGGGACACAAGACAGCCAAGTAGACAGCCAAAAGGAACAATTGGGCCACCCAGTGCTGCGCATGAAACCAGTCGGACAAATCAAACGCCGTCTGCACAAAATGAGCACACCATCATTATTGTATTCCTGGCACCATTGGGGGTTGATCCCACCCAGGCAGACCAAACGAGGCACAGTCATGAGAATGTGAGCAACATGGTGGTGAGAGATAAGAGACACAGAGTTGCCTTGTAGTTCCATCATTTGGGGATCGCCAGTGGGTTGGAGAGAAATGTAACAAGAGGACGCAATGCCATCCACCACAAGGGTACCATCCTGAGTCATAGGAGCATAGATTCCCTGGCGCTGGACAGTCTTGATCTTGGTGACAAGGGCAGCAGCTCCATGTCCAGCCTCCATGAGAGTGTCACCAACCTTGATGGATTTGGCTGTGACTGGAGCATCCTTGCCCTGCACATAGACCAAATGCTGACCAGTGACTTCCAATGGGTTCTTGCCACTTGTTGTGTGGATTTGTAGGAACTCCATGTCTGTCATGGCATCATTGTGAGCAAAGGCATAGACTGGTTGGTAACGGTTGTTGGCGGTCAAGACCATGTCTCCAATCTTGAGGTCCGCCATTTTGGTGGGTACTGGGACTTGTCCTTGGCCCGGATGTTTCACTGCCACAGTGGCTTCCTCCGAAAAACAAGAGGACGGATCGTCTGCAGTAGGGCCAGCGGCCCCAAAGCAAACACAATCAATGCTAACACCATTTATGTCTACCCCATAGTACAGCTGTATCTCTCCAGATTCAAATGGAACCTTAAGGGTGGTGCGCCCACAATTGGCAACCCTATCCCGTATAACTCCATTTACTTGAATTTCAACAGCGCTGACTGTACTTGTAGGACCGGTGCAGGTAACCCTGCATTGGATATGTGTGGTTCCAGCCGGAGGGGGCGACATGAGATAACCACCTGCTTCATCTTTCCGATTTTCGGAAAGCAGATAGCATCACCGCGGACCATGGCCATCACTGCCATGAGTGTAATGGTAAAGAGAGGGAGTGCAGCGATCTTCATCTTCATGGGTGGGCGGCTTTTATGATAACACTTTCTTCTTTCAAGAGCTTATTTCAATTTTGTGGGCTGATAGATGGGAGGAGAGTTTTGCAATTTGCATGAGGGCCTGATAGGTGCCATCGCTGTACCAGGTACCAGGTACCGGTGGGGGGTCACAGTGACCATGAAGCCAAGGTACCGGTGGCAGTGGCTGGTGGCAAATAAGTGGCACTAGCTAGCCGGAGGTGTCAGCATTTGCAAAGCTATTTGCAATAGCCTCGAACACCTATTGCTTACGGGATTGCTTGTACCGGTATGTACAGGTACCGGTACCGGCGGAGGTGATGGTGGAGGGGAGGCAATTTGCACAGCCTAAGATGCTCTCTGGTATTGGTGGAGGTCTTGCATAATGGCATACAGCGTACCGGTGGATGGAGTGACTACTACCAGTACTAATAATCCTCGTGTTAACATTTTGCGTAAGTACTCGAGTACTGAGTACCACGTAACTTAGTCAAAAGGAGACGTCCCCATAATTCGAAGGGGCTACATAGTGGAAAGAAAAAGGTACCGGTGGGAATTTCATGACGCGGCGAAGGTCATCTTCAATAATTGAGTGACAGCGGTACTAGTACGCTTTTATGTAGAGAAAATCAGTGCCGTCCCATGCCTACAGTACGACTGCTTCCAGTCCTTGGAGCCACTGCTAACCACTGTTTTCCGAAACGGTGGAGTCTTTCATCACCATTGCTCACCACTGTTTTAGCACTTTACAATGTACTGCTTCTTACCACTGTCAAAAAAGAGAGTGGTTGAAAGGGCAACTGTTTACCACTGTCAACCACAATCATGGTCATGATTCCATGGAAGAGCAATTACCATGACGCAGCGTCGTTGTGTTGCGGCCATTGATATTGGTGCGTTTGAAACGAGAAAATGGTGAACGATGGGCTCCATTTGCAGGTGGACGTTGTGGGCGAGATCCTCTTTTACGATTACTACTGAACGATGCAAACGATGGGATCATACCACCCAAGAGTGATGAAAAATCGGTACCGTAAGGGTTGTGGTCATCGTCATAGTTACCGTTGGGGTCAGGAGATTCCGGGTGGTTCGAATCACGAGCACCTGGTTTCCACTTAGCGAGATATGGCAATAGGCCACTCATTGTCACTGATAGCTGAAAGGATAAAGGATACTAGTCGAGGTTGCCGTCTGATTGTCGCTTGACCGCAGTATTGTGAGCTTCATCGGAGGAGCATCCGCAGAGTGGTATCTTTCAGGGAGCCTGACAAGCCAAAGGATGGCCTTGCTACACAGGAAGCAGCTTCTTGATTGCCTATGTAAAATGGGAAGCAGTCAAAAAGCATCTTGATTGCTTCTTGACTGCTTCTTGATGGCTTCTCTTCTGCTTCCTGTATCTTTCAGCAGGTGTGCATCCTGCAAGTTGGGCTTGCCGCTCCTAAAGCCTGAGCCTCTTGTGGCCTACTCCTGTGGCTTCTCCTCTGGAGCTTTCTCCTTGTTGCTACAGATACTGGGTGTCTACTAGCTAGATGTGTTCGCCGTCACGACCCGGAAACGCGACTCCCAACTCTAAATGCAATGACAAATATTTTTAAAAAAATGCAAGTATCCCAGACTGAGAGTTTCGAAGGGCTTCTCCGAGGGTAGTCTAGCTAGCCAAGGGCTTCTCTTGTCATCAAATTCCCGACTGCAATGTGCAAGCCATCATTGGCAACAGCCTCAGTATTGTGACCCGCCCTCAAGCTCCTTCCCATCGCATCTGCTGGAGACCGACCCTACGAAATTTCCCCTGTATGCCATAGTGGATAGCTGCTCAGCATTGTGGATCTATGAAACTTCCACGAGCTAGCTAGCTAGCTAGCCAGGGTTGGTACGCTAATATCTTGGCTTCGCATCATTTGTTTGGTCGCCTCGCCCTCGGCTCGATCATGAGAAGCCGACCAAAGCCTCTGCTCTCACGAAAAAGCCGCATCAGAGCCTAGTGCAAAGACGTACCCGTCCGGTAGCTAGCAACGAACCACCATCTATACCTTGCTGCTTGCATTTATTTCATAACCTAGCTTGTTGGCTGTATAGCTGAGCAACCAACCATGATGATGGGAAACAATAACGAAGCCAGGAGTGGCACCTTTGGAGCGCACGTGCTAGCTGCGTCATTCTTCCTTGGCTTTGGAGTATTCTTCCTCGTTCTTGACTTGCAGCGAGCTCGAGCCTGTTTGGAGCGTGGAGAATCCTTTTGCAAGCTGCATGTCCCCGAGAAGAATCGAGCTCTTTTGCGTCGTGCAGGCTTGGTCCTGTTCACAGTATCCATGACGGGGGTCTTGCTGGATGGTGTTGTTGCTTTTCTGTATTTGCGCAACTTTTTCTTTCAGTTGTTGCACCAGACTCTGTACCTTTCGTTTGGCTTTGTGGGGTTCATTGCCTACCTAGAATCCAAACGGCGTCTTCCCTTGGACTCTTCTAGGGTTGCTTTGGCAATCGCTTTACTCTTGTTCCATCTCGTGATGAGCGCCCATGCCAAAATGAAGCCGGGAAGCACCGATGCGGCCCTCCATGCCGTGATGGCCAACCTGTGCTTGGTGCATGCCTTGATCTATGCCTTCTCTGTTTGGAATCCCAAGAGTCTGGTGGCCTATGTGATGACCCATGCTCTCCTTGTTGTGCAAGGAGTTTGGCTCGTTACGTTGGGCAGCTTTGAGTGCTGCATGGATATCCCTTTGCATCTGGTGGAGACCCTCTTTTCCTTGGAGCTGCTGACCGTCTTTGCCGCCATTGTCGTAACGGCTATCACGGTGTTGCCACCCCTGGAGGATGAAGATGGCGCCGCGCCCTCGGAGCACAAGAACGGACCGAACTCGGAAGAATACGCCCAGTTGGTGCCCGCTGCGTCCGTGTTGGTCGATGACAGCGTCTAGCCAGAGCAAAAACTCATTGCGTGCTTCTACATGTAACATCTCGACCCCAAAAACCAAGTTATATCCAACGTGCCCGAAGCGATCCCGTCGCGAAGCGATCCCGTCGTCATCCTGTAGCTCCTTGTTACGACTCTCTAGACAGTAAAACTAAGCGTTTTTATTTTGATATTATTTTACAATTCCTCCTTTCGCGATAGTTTGGCCGGTTCTCCCGTGGAGACTCGTAGATTGGGTATGGATTCGTAGAGTTTATTGGTCATGTACGCCAGTAGCCCATCCGTGGTGAGATTGAGACTCGTCTTGGCCCGTACTAATACCTGTGCTTCGGTCTGTAATGCAAAGGCAATTTCTTCGGCCTGCAAGGTGGCTTCCGTAAGTGTGACATTGGCATTGTTTTCGGCAGAATCTATAATTTTGCGGGCTTCTTCTTGTGCCGACAAGAGGGCCGTTCGTGCCTTTGTTGTTTCTTGCGTTCTTTGATTCTTGGCAAGTTCAATGTCTTCTGCTGCCTCTTGTTTGGCAGCCACGGCATCCTTGTAGGCATCCGGTAAAGTGACTTCTTTGAGTTGGAGAGAAATGGCACGGGCGTAGACACCTCCGACACCATCGAAATCCGGTCCTTCCAATTTGATTCGGAGGTTCTATGATTGATAAATAAAACCAGGAAGGAAAGGACGGGATGGTTTTGATTGTCGTGTGCCGTCATGAAAAGCATAGAACAGAGGAACATGCAGGATCAGATCATTGAATTTTGGCCAGATATACAATTTTGAAACTAGCTCAATTGACTTACCTCTTCCATGGCATTTTGAATGAGGCCTCTTTGCTGCTGATAGCTAGCCGTTTCAAATAGGGAACAAGTGTGCTGCACAGCGGATGTCCCGGCTGCCTCCACCACCGTTGCCTATAGAGAAAACAGAAAGTTGCGTTGATTGTGAGCACCATTCCTGCATTTGGCGCACAAAGTTGCATGCTTTTTCATAACGTACCCATCGATCAAAGTTTCTGTACTTGATTACAGCAGGTCTCATCCAATCTTTTGGCATTTGGTATTGAAAGGTGACAGCAAAGCGGACTCTGAGTCCATCTCTGGAGACACAAGTCCCATCAGGCAAATCCACAGTGACAAAGGTAGACGGGAACTTGATGAATTCAAATCCAGGTGGTCCCGTGTGCAATCCTCCCTCTTTGGTCAGATCATCCAGTTGCTTGTTATGGACATTGTACTCCAATCCATACTCTGTGGAATCCACCTTTTTCAGGGAAGTGGCCAGCAGTGCAATGGCCGTTGCCAGGACGGCAATGCCAAAGATACCCCAAGCAATCTGCTTCCAAGTCTTGTCAAATAAGCTAGCGCACGTGAAATTGCTGCAGCAGCCATTGTCTTCTCCAGATTCTTCGTCTCTGTTGTGGCTTCCCTTCATCTTTATGTATTGTTGGGTTGAGTTGCTTCAGTTAATGTTCTGTGTGGGTTATTGGTGGTTGTTCTGTCGTTGTGAGAAAAAAGATGTCAGCCTTTTAGATTCGAGAATCGAATCCTAAAGACCCTCTCAGTCTTGGATACCGCAAGCAGGACTTGTTCATTCGGATCGCTGATCGTCTAAATGACAATCGCTGGTTCTCTAAAGACTTAATTAGCACATGTTCAAGAGAACGCCAAATCGACCTTCTCGCACGAATCAGTGCCACTTCCTGTCGTGGATTTGCAGATTTTTTATTCACGTCAGGATGGATCTTCTTTGCTGGTTCTCAAGACTTTTGAAGCCTCCTTGAAGAACCTTTCCTTTCTCACAAACAACTCCAGCTATATACCCCACCAATAATCAACCAAACGACAACGAACCCACCAAATAAAGAAAGAGGAGACAATGGACGGCCGTTGCAAGTGCATTTTGGGAGTTCTGGTAGTAGGTATCCTCTTGACCATCATTCTGGTGCCTCTCTCCTTTAGCTACGTGGAATACTACGAGTACGGGCTTGCACAGCGCAAAACCACGGGGTCCGTCGATACCAGCCGTGTCTACGCCAAAGGACGATATGCCCTTGGACCAGACTACAAGTTTCTCAAGTACCAAGCCGATGCTCACGTGGAGACGCTGCGCAGTTTTTCCGTCTTTTCTTCGGGAGATTCCAATTCTTCCATTGGTCTAGATTTCAAGCTAGATATTGACTTTACCTATCTGCTCAAGAAGGATGAAATTGGCGTGGTGCATCAGGAACTGGCAAGATCCTATCAAGGCATCATTCTCTCCAGAGCCAAAGATGCCATCAAAAACGAAGCTGCCCGTGTCACCTTTCTGCAGTACTTTCAAAACCGCTCTCTCGTAGAAACCAGATTCCGTGATGCCGTACAACGACGTTGGGAGATCAATCCCTCCTTGCACGCCACACTCGATCAGTTTCATCTGGGACGCATCCAAATTCCCGAATCGGTGGCAGGCAAACAACTCGAAGCCAAAATCCAAAATGAACGCAACGATCAAGAAGCTTTCTTACAAGAGGCCGCCATTGAACGAGAAATGACGGCCGTACTCGTCAATAGCATTGACCTCGAAACGCAAAAAGTACTGCGAACGGCATTCGCACAGGCATCCCTCATTCAAAGTCGCGCTACATCGCAAGCACGACAACTCATTGCTGATGCACAGACCGATGGAATTCAACAACTCGTGGCGGCGACAGAAATTGACGGACAAGAACAATTGACGGCATTTACGTACATTCGGACGCTACAAAATCGAAGAGGGGACAGCAATAACAACACGACGGTGGAAATCAATTACCTGACGCCCGAGAATATTGTCAAGACGCGGGCGGTGTAGAATGAGAGATGAAGCAAATATACAATCTAAACAACACACACACACATTTTGGGGGATCTTGTTGACAGCTAGTTCTTTCTTTGGCCGAGTGCCTCAAGTGAAATTGCAAAGATCGATTGATTCGAGCTAACTATTTGCACAGTTGAGTTTTCCATTTCAAATAATTCAGTATAGCTAGACTACATGTACAGTACTTGGACGGGTTGTGGATGCTTCAAGCTTCTTTCTTCAAGTCCACCATTGGGTCCACAGCAACAACACTATTTCCGCCAATAAAACCAACAAAGACCAATCCACCAACGACCACAGCAGCAGCCAGCTCGGCACCAAACAAGAGCTCCAAGGCATAGAGGGGGCACAAGACCACCAAGTAGAGAGCCAAAAGGAAGAACTGAACCACCCAGTGCTGGGCATGGAACCAGTCGGACAAATCAAACGCCATCTGCACAAAGTGAGCCACACCATCATCATTGTATGTCTGGCACAATTTGGGGCTGATCCCACCGGTGCAAACCAAACGAGGCAGAGTCATGAGCATATGAGCAACATGGTGGTGAGAGAAAAGGGACGCAGAGTGGCCTTGTAGTTCCATCATTTGAGGATTGCCATGGGGTTGGAGGGAAATGTAACAAGAGGACGCAATGCCATCCACCACAAGGGTGCCATCCTGAGTCAGAGGAGCATAGATTCCCTGGCGATAGACAGTCTTGATCTTGGTGACAACAGCATTTCCTCCTCGTCCATGTCCGGCTTGAACATGGGCGAGACTATCACCAACCCTTATGGATTTGGCCGTGACTGGAGCATCCTTGCCCTGCACATAGACCAAATGCTGACCAGTGACTTCCAATGGGTTCTTGCCGCTTGTGGTGTGGATTTGGAGGAATTTGGTCTTAGTCGTGGCATCATTGTGAGCAAAGGCGTAGACAGGCTGGAATTGGTTGTCGGCTGTCAAGACCATGTCTCCGATCTTGAGGTCCGTCATCTTGGTGGGTACTGGGACTTGGCCTTTTCCTTGGCCCTGTTGTTTCACAGCCACAGTGGCTTCCTCCGAAAAACAAGAGGACGGATCGGGAGGAGAAGCCGGAGCGAGAGCAGGAGCGGGAGCGGAAGTGGTGGCATCAATGCAAGTACATGTGTGAAGGCTGTCCATGGACTCCATGCCCATTCCAAAAGCATCGTCAAACAGAGGATCTCGAACTTGCTCTGTGCACGCTGTCAAGATTACGACATTGAATGCTGAGATTCTCCGTGGGGCAAGCTTGAAGACTTGAAGGCTTGAGACGATGGTCATGCAACCAGGTTGTGCTTCATCGTGTGCGTGGTTTCCAGTTCAGTGACGAGCTACAACCTAATGCACGTTGTAACTAGATGTTCATGTATCGGTTCTTTTGTCTATGCATAATTAGTTCCCGTTTGTTGCCTGGCATGTGCAGGCGCCCTTCCATAAGGCTATCGGTACGGTAGATGGCCTTCAATGGACTCTGATCAATATATAGTGGATGCGGCATCAACGTCTTCTCAGTGCAGTCCCGTGGTGCTTAGCATTCAACGTTGTTGGTTGGGACGCTCATTTCAGTGGTAGTCTCCGGATCAGCCTTGGTGCCATACTTCTTGCGGCATTCAACAATCATTTGTGCCACTACTTCTTCCCCGTGAGTTTCCCATTCCTCTCTGTTCTTCAGAGCATAGTTGAGGTACTCATCAGAAGAGACACCGAAGACGCCACACTCCTTGAGCTTTCGTGTCAAAGGGATGATATAGAAATCAAAGAATCCAAACTCGCCCTTGTACCAAAAAGTTGCAGGGTCCTTCTCCATTCTTCCATTCAGATAGGCAACGTAAAGTTCTTCAAAGAGGTTCTGGTTCCACTTGCGGTAGACATGCCAATGCTGCATGGTGTGACTATAGTTGAAGGAAACGTTGGCACAGAGTGAGAGAGCTGCAATCACGATTACGCCACAAGAAGCGATCGGAACGTTCATTCTTTCGTACCTGATGTCACTGGCCTGGATAATGTGTTCAATCTGCAGTATCCAACGTTGACTTTGAGAAGGCACCTGAACATTTGGAAAGCCAATCCTAGTGAGCTGCATATTTCACTTACAACGATAGTGGCCTTGCGGTTGACTTCGTCCCTGGGGTTGTCATCCGAGTTGTCGCCAGAATCATTGGTCTTGAAGGCCTTCTCCCAGCGAGCATTGCGGAGCTGCTTCAATTCCTTGTCCACGATATCGGTCTATATGAGCAACCAACAGAATGAAGTGTCAGAATGGTGATGAAAGACTTCTCCGAAAGATCGTCGGGGAAAGAACGAGTGCTTACCGCCATGACGCTGTTGATGACTGCAGGCATTTGAAACGGACAAAACAATACGGAGCAGAGACAGAAAACTTGCGTGAGACCTTTGTGGGGTTCTCTCTATCTTCATAAATCGTTGTTTTGCTTACCGAGCTGACGGAATCGGATCAACTCTCCCTCGTTGTGGAACAAGAAGCTGCGAAGGGAGTTGTACTCTGGACTCATCAACAGATTCCAAGCAAGGTCCCTGCGGAATCAACGGCCAGTCAAGGTTAATTGCGTGAGAACAGAGAAAGACGTGATTGTATCACAACACAATACAACACAAGCAAACAAGCGACAGCAAAATCTTACACAGAGTTCTGTTCGGCCACACTGCGTCCCTTGTACTTGGTGGCAATCGGAACCTCCTCCTTGACCAGTTGAGCATTGGAGACTCCAACGTGATCTGTATATAGAGTGGGCGCGACAAGTGAGAAAACGTACAAAGTCCAGGCATCACGACGGGTGTGGCGACCCGGCCTTACCGACATCGTGAATCAGAGCCGCAAAGGCACAAGCCACCTGGGTGAGCGGGTCGCTGAGGGTTGAACAATACTGTTAGAGAAGGAGGGTAAAGATGCCAACCGCGACATGTTTCTTGCACCTACCTTGTGATACCATATGTGTGGCTGGCGGTCGAGTTGAAAGTTCATAGAAAAGCGGAGCACGAAGTCGTTGTCAGGGGGACAAGTCACAACGTCAAATAATGTATACAGCCTCCGATGCATATGACGTACTCGTGAAGACGAGAAGCTGCAACTTTCTTTCTGCGCTTGTCATGACATTCATCCAGGTCTTCGAGATGCGAGGGCGCCGTAATCCGAGACAAAAGCTTTGTCACTAAATGCCACAAAACAGACACAGGCTCGTGAGTGTGAGCCAGGACACAATCGATGTACCTTGCAAGCAATGGCGTGCTTGAGCTTACCTGCCATCACAACATGGCTGGCATGGTCAAAGTCTAAAGGAACAAGGGAAAGACGCATCAAAAGGCTCGGTGAGTATATTACACTCAAACAACAGTTTCCCTTCCCGGAAACCACAAGCATCAATCAGACTTACTGTGGAAAGGATTGCTGTTGTACTTGCTGGCAATGCAGCTCACCAAATGGTGCAACTGGTGCTCTACTTCGATTGGAATCACAACGTCTGAAGGCTTTTTCATGTGTCGAGTGCTCTTGTTGGAGTCGAACTCGGGCAACTGAATGATTTCACGGACTTCGTTCAGCGGGAGGCCGTCAATGCTGATGTTCATTTTCATCAAAGACTCGGAGGGGTTCACGACGGGCCCCCTGCGTGCGACAACTTGCTTGATGAGACGCAAAAGTGTTTCCACGTTCCAATCGATCTGGCGGTACGTGCGTTCATCAAGCCCCGGAATCGCCTTGCCACGGGAGACACCGGAAGTGAAATCGTTGGTAAGTGCCGCGGCAAACGATCCAACCGAAGATGCTGTGTTTGCTTTTCCAACGGATACATTCACAAAGAAGGTCTCAAGGCTCCCCTTGCCTTTCATGTTGACGTACTCCCGTCTTGGTTCCAACCAACCGCCCTTTCCGTCCTCCATGAGCAAAGCTGCCGTCTCCTTGGAGCACTGGATGCGGTTGCGTTCTCCGGTAGACTCGAGGCGACTCGTGGTATTCATTGTGTCTCCGAACCTAACACCAAAAAAAGCAGTGAAAGCACGGAATCAGTATCAACAGACAACAAGTGCAACAGGTGAAAGGTGCTGGGCGGTGCTGACTTACAATTGGAAGCGTGCACGATCTCCTCGTAGTACTCCAGCCTGTTCCACGTACAACATGAGTCGAGTCAGGTGAGTGTGGATGTCGCGTGGTGTCATTGGCTTCTGTGCAACCTCATCTAGCTAAGAATACCGACCAAACTCACCGTAACTGGACCAGAATGAATGCTGATCCAAGATGAAAAGGATACAACAATGCATGAGTGAAGGACACGGAAGAGACGAAACCGGAACACAGCCGCTTATGAAAGCTTACCCAATGCGTAGACCAAGATCCGCCGCTGAGTTGATGAACAAGGCAAGAGAAAAACAGATTGGATGGGTAAGAATGGGCGTATGGTGTCCAGACTGAAAGTTGACGATTAAGCCTAATGGGGACTCACTGTCCGGCCCAAGGCTCAATTCGAGATGCTTGGTGACGACAAACATGCGCGAGATGATGTCTTGACCAAAGCGGCACATGGCGCTGGCATGATCTCTTCGGGGATCGGGTAGTCCGACCACGGCCACGTACTGTTGATGATGGAACAGATCCAAAGAATTCATAAAAGGCAATGGTGAGACATGACATGAGCACAAACCACGCAATCTAAAGCCCAAGCAGGGTCGCCCAAGCAACGTCGGACGTACGCAATCTCCCACTGTTTCCACTACAGGAAGTTATCAGATTCAAAAGAGGAGGATGTTAGTTTTGGTAAGATGAGCAAGCCCGCACCATCGTCCTTTCCCTGGCCTTGGCTTACCCTTGAAGACACGTCTTTTGCGAGCCACGGAATCAAAAGATTGATACAATGTTTCGAGTAGCGTGAAGACTGCATGATGGTTGGTAGAAGAGACGAGGAGGTGAGCTGAGACGTCCTTGTGCATCGAATCAGGAAGGCGAACAATGATTGAGTGAGTCAAACCCACCTTGGGCAGGCTCTCGAACACTGGACCAAGCAGTGAAGCCCACAACATCGGCTGTTCAAAGTAGAGCAATGGCAGGTACAGTAGCAGCAATCATGAGATTAGTGCCTGATCCAAGAGGTCCTCATGCAGCAAGGAAGAAACGTACCGAACTGTCATGTGGAATGGCACGAGGACGTATGGAAGGGAGAGAATGTGAGCAGAAGACGTATGCATCTATACGAATCGAATCATCGCCCATCCATCCATGATGTAGAAACATGTATAAACAAAACGTACCATGACGGTGGTTTCCAAGAACAACTCGGCAATGGGCTTGTCCCGAATGTGAACGTCCGGGTTGGCTCCTCCTCCTCCAACTCCAGTACCACCGGTAGTAGTGCCACCTCCACGGAGAAAGTGTTTGAGGTTTCCCCTTTTCTTGCTGGTGGCATGGAATGCCAAGCTCTCTTCCTTGCTGCCAATGAGTTTTTCCTTGATGCTATCGGGGAAGATGGAGGATACAATGGCCCCCGAAGCGAGTGCTCGCTGTTGGATGCGTCGCTGACGACGCGTGACCTTGAGATCGTAGAATAAAAAGAGTGCGGACGTAAAGATAAAGACAAATGCGGCTCCGAGTGCATAGTAGATGGGATCGTTCTGTACGTAGTGCTCTTCCATTTCGGTGGATGGGTACACGGACAGCGTAAAGGGACAATAGTCAGTACTCATGGGCAATCCAGTGTAGGTTCCATCTCGGTTGGTGAGATCCTTGAGTGTGGAGGAAATGACGAGGTCGTTGTACTTTTGTTCGTGAAAGTCGGCAAATCCTAGAAATGTGGGAGTGGATCCATCGACCTGATAGGTGAATGTCTGATTGCCACAGTCGTTGTGAAAGACGAGAATAAGCCCGAGTGAGTTTGGAGGTAGAATGTTCTTGATGGCATGGCGCCAGTAAAAGGAGAATGCGACAGCTCCAATGGCCTTTTCGTTGCTGTTTGGATCGATGAGTACACTGTCAATGCTCGGTAGGACGGGATAGTACATGTCCGAGAAGGGTTCGTTGGTGTCTTCGTCCGGGTCGAGGTAGGGAATGGCCCAATCGGAAGTGACTTTGGCCTGCGCCGCGGCGACGGGATCGTTTGGATCAGCATTGTTAGCGACGGGCGTGACAACGACGGACTTGGTTTCCATGGTGTAGAACATGCTCTTGGCAAATGCCAAGCCTGACAGTCCGTTCCAGTTGTAGGGAGGCCATGTGGGAATGACAGGAGATCCCATCCACGAGGGCAAAAAGGGTCCTTGGCATCTCATCTTCGGGTCCGGTGAGATTCCAAATGACGTTGCTTCGAGTAAAGTTTGTGAGGATGGGTCCATGAAAGTTAGGATCCGTGACTTGGACCGTTAAGGCTTCGTCGACCCATCCATCGTTGTGCTTGGTAAAGTTTTCCCACTCTTGGCGCTTTTCCTTGGTAATGAGTGGGTAGAAAGCCATGTAGATACTGTTGGTCTGAGTCATGAGCTTGGCGGTCTGAACGGCGAGATCGGGAATGGTGACCAAGGGCCAGACGGATCCACTGGAGCGGGCTTGAGAGACCACACGAAACATGAACGCATCCGCGGCGCCCATGGTCAAGTCAAAGTTCTGGCCGATACTGTCCAACACCTTGCGAGCATCGGAACGGAAGGCGTTGTGGAGATCATTCTGTTCTGAATTGGTGTAAAAGCGAATTGCGAGGGCTTATAATAAAAAAACAAAAGGAGAAGTAAGTGAGTGTAAGGTTAAGATAATAGGAAGGCAGACAGACGTGTTCCGGTTTTTGTGGACATGGCGACAGGACAGAAACTTACCGACGGCGACCGTGGAAAAGACGAGCACGGTAACCAACACCCAACGGAGATAGGTGACCATGGGATTGTCGCCCATGATGACGCTGTCTTGGCTAAGTCCAGCCAAAGTTGCTCCTGACGAAGAACTGTTGCTCTTATGGTGGCTGCTGCCGTCTATCATACTCGTAGCTTCCTCGTCCTGGAAATCCACCACGCCGCCAGAGCTCTCAGAGGATTCTTCATCTTGAAGAGACTCTGTGTCCTTGCTGCGGTTTGTTCCAAGCGCCATGGTCGAGCAATCAATTTATCAAAAATCAAATTATCAAGATAACTTACTTGATAACTTGCTAACTTTGTTCCTGTTTGCTTTTTGGAACGCAAGAACTGGAATTTGTGAGACCAGAGACTAGCTAGCTACGCTAGCTAAGCAGTACATGTAAGTTGCCCGTCCGAAGAACTGTAAAAACAGGAACAAAAGATATGGCTTTGGCTTCGATGGTTCGATGGTCAGACTGGATCCATTCCGAGAACCCTCCCCCATGGCCAGCTGGCTATCCTACCGTACTGGTTGCCTGGTTGCATAGCCACATGCTATGCCATCTGTTTGGCAGAAAGAGCGCCATGTCGCGCAGCACAACAAGAAAGACAAAAGATCATTATGTCTCTCGCTGGTCACAGATTAATAAATACCTTACACATTATTACCACTAGCCAGATTTATTTAATTAACTCATTGTGTTCTCACGGTCATCAGTGATTACGAAGCACATGGGGGATGGGCAAATCTTGCAAAAGCCCTGTATTGTAATGGAGTGTGACTCGCCAAAATCAGTTAAAAAGACGAAATTTGTATTTTTGCAGGAAGATAAATTTAATTGGATTGCATTGGATTGGATTGCATTGAATTGGATTGAATTGGATTCCAAATAGTACTGTTATTTATATAGTAAACTGTAATTCAATGCAATCCAATCTAATCCAATGCAATCCAATCAAATCCAATAGAGAAAAACAGCCAAAGTGAAAGATTGGCTTGGCGCACACAATTTTTGCAAAAACGCTCTAACAAATTCAACACAGAGCCATGGGCAAGTTTGCTCATCCCCATGGACGAAGGATGTCTTTTCAAAGAATCATCTATGTCACTTTAATTCTTTACCAGATCTTCTGCTCGAGAACTGTCACATTGTACAAGATACATGTATTAATAGTTTCTTAGCATCAGATTCTGTGACCTCCTTTAGAAAGCTCCTTCTAGCCAAGGTTGAAGTCATCGCTCGAATTCCCACCACGTGGCGAGGAAAGTGAAGACAAGCCTCCATGCAACCTCCTTTAGCATTAGGACGCACGTGCACATCCGTTCCTCGTAAAACATCTTTGCTTATGAGCTCTTATGTCAAAAATTACAGGTCTGTAAGCTTAGTTGCCACTCTTATTACAGATCTTGGCCATTGGCCAGCTTTAGACAAACAATCATTGACTACTAAGTCTTTGGCACCATGAAGCTTTCTCTTCATTGTTTCTCTTGATCCGCTACGGTACTTGCCATTGTAGTTTACAGTAGTCTAATGGTCGACTACATACATGCACAGAGACACTGTCGAACCTAGCTACTAGTAGTTCACAATGTCATGCATCCCTGAAACTAGATCTAACTAAGGAGTGATCTAAGGAGGGTTGGATTTGAAACGAGGCAACTGTTGAGCATTCTCACATTTATTTACTAGCTCATTTTCTCCGCTGAGAAAACCAGTTCTGCTAGTCTGGGGCTAGCATTATTGTGGCTGGTTTATTCATTACATACTAGTATTGGGTGAAAGAATGGTCGAGGGAAATCAAGTGATGGCTGGATCCAGCATTTGCGTGAGGCAGATCCAGTGCTGGGGCCAATGCTTGCGGTATCTCCACTGGCAATGCTGGAGCTTTCAACTGCAAGCATTCTTGCATGCTGGTGTCAAAGTTCTTGGCGATTCCAGTTCTGGGACAAATCTTTGTGGGAAATCTAGTGCTTGGGCTTGCCGCTGCGACTTGCAGTGCTGAGGCTTGCAAGCATTGTAGTGTTGGGGCAATTCTTAGTGGACAATACTGTCCTGGGGCTTGCTGCTGCAGCCAATGCTTGCAGTGCTGGGGCCAACAATGTAGGCATCGAAGAGCTGGGGCCAAAGTTCTTGGAAATCCAGTAGTTGGGACAATGGTTCTGATATCTTCTTGTTTTTGTGCATTCCCACGGAGCTGCGGCAAATGACATCTAGCTAGCTACCTTGTAAGAGAAAGAGAGACAGCAGACTGTCAAACAACGGTGTGGTGATGGGGTTTCAATTGCTCTTCTTACAGCCATATCATATCATATCATATCATATCAGATATATGTTAAAGTTTACTGTACAGGTAGCTACATCATCACAGAATGATACAACACGCAGCCATTTGCTTTTGTTCCATCTTGAGCCGGGCCAATTCATCCCATGCCGCCAATGCCGGCAAGAGTTCTGCACGGCTAATGTGGCCATCCCGGTCTGCATCTGCCTGCTCCAATATGTACTCTAGGTCCTTGGTCGATACCACGAGCATAATGGCAACGCCTTTGGCAGCCCGGTGCGACTTGCGTTCCTTGTCTTGCAAGAGCCGAAGGAGTTCTGATCTTCCCAACTTGCCCCTTCCCGCCTTGTCGTACTTTTCAAACATAGAATTCACCATTTTGCGCTGGGAAACGTACTCTTCGTACTTGATAACCGCGTGCACCAGTGCTTCCTTGGGTAGCACAGTAGTACCACTCCTACCAGTACTATTATTTGTACCAGTACCAGTACTGGTGCTACTGCAAACGCTGGTGTCATCTGGAACCATGTTTCCGGTGGCTGTATTCACTACGAGCCTAAGAGCATCTTTGTCTAGCTTGCGGGTGCCAAAGACGCCCAGGAAAAATTCCTTGAATTGGGATTCCTCTAGCCACTCTCCATCCCTCGATAAGTCTTCAAAGACATATCTAGCTCTGGCCTTGAGTTCCTTTTGTTCGTTGGCAATCTTGGCTCGGTTCATAGCCCGGAGCTTAGCTTGCTCTTCGTGGCGGCGACAGCGCCCTCGGCTGGTGGCGGCGGCTACGGATGCCATTCTTACTTATTCTGTTTGCTGAAGTTAGTTTGCTGTTTAGTTTTGTGGGGATTGTTTTTATGACACGATCCACTTGGCTGGTTTTCCGCAAGCTACAGTAGTTAGATAGCTGGGGTAGCTGTCCAAGATGTTTGCTATTACCTATTGAGGTTCTTGCTTGCTGGATCGTGGAGGAGGTTCGATTCTAGCTAGACTGGTTTGTGAGCTGCGAATTCTTATGCATCCATAAGAATCAAAGCATGTTTGTGCCCAGTAAAGCGGTTGTTAAGCACGTTCGGATGCTGTTCCGTGTGTCTCTAAAGCATTCCGCGTAGTGGTGTCGTGAAGTTTCCGGTACTGGATTAGATCTTATTGATCTGCTTCAAAGAGCGATTTAGAATACCATGATTCAGAGTCAGCATGATGACAGCATGACACATCAAGTACATGTACTGTATCAAGTGCTCTTGCTTGATAAGTACTGTTACAAAAAAAGAACTGACGAGCATTCAACAAACAGAACCAATACTGGAACCGGTACAGGACTCGACGTCGACCCTCGACTCGACCGCATGCAGTGCATGATTGCGAACTTAATAACTCTAACAGCCTTCTTCTGAAGCAGTAGGGTTAATGAGTCAGCCAGGCCAGACCAGTACCGGTAGGATGGTACTTAGAGACAACGCCAATCACGTTGTACACTTAGATACCCAAGTCCGTCGATCGAAGACCATCCAACTCCGCCACAAACTGGATCTTTTTGCGATCATCCGCCGTTGCACTGCAGTTGATGGCGATGCATGTCCATGAGTGAGTAAGTTTCTTTCATTTCTCTCGCTCACATCCCATTATTCCTGCATCACATTTCTACTTAGTAGCTGTATAAACCTATTAGATAAAGACAGATAACCATGATGCTGATCCAAAAGTCCATGAGATACTCCTTAGTGGTAGTCATGGTACTACTGGCTGTAGCTGTCAGCACAGTCAATGGTGCAGCAACGCAACTACGAGGAGGTACCAGTGCAGGTAACCTATTTTCGTCAGATCCCTCCATGACTATGAATGGAAGACCACAAAATCAACTACGTCGTCTGGAAGGGGACGAAGATGAAGAGGAAAAAGAAGGTTGGCTGAGCAAGGCCATTGGATTTGTGTCAGATGTCATTGCAGTCGCATTTGGATCAGAAGACGAAGAAGCAGAGGGAGTGGCCCTTGGCAGCGCTACCATCAGTCCTACAGATGCAGGGACGGTCAATCCTACCATGGGCGAGACAGCAGGAGCTACTGCGGTCATGACCAGTGCTCCCACGGAAGAATAGTTAGTTTGCTGGCTGGAATGATTTGATTTCCTTCTTTGGCTGCCTGCCGACATGTACAATCACAAATCAAGTATTAATAGCTAGCTACGCAGAATGAATGAAGTGAGACCAGTAGGAGGGTTGACAGAATATTTGAGCAAAATAGCTCGTGAAGTCTGCTCTTTCCTACGGTGTTGCACCATCTGCGGAGCCATCGGTTGGCAGCCATGCACCTCTCCTCTTTCGGTAAAACTGGCATCGCGCACAAGACCTTACTTACATACGGTAGATTTTGTCCCCTTGCTTAAACGTGTAATTAATTAGACCATGAGATGAAACGAATTTGCGTCATTCAGGTGCGGACGAATTAGTTGCATTGTTTCTACATGTAGCTAGCAATGATTGGCTTCCTTTCCTTTTTTACAATGGATGTTTCGCATCTCCATTCTTTAGAATGACAAAAAAAGTGACCAGACTTTGTGAGCTGGAACCGTGGCGCACATCTCGTCGTACCTTCGCTCGCCCAATTCTTACGGCGGCCCAGCATTGGAGCTTCCGCGTCTGCTATTCCATGCTCACATGCTCACCCGGGCCAGGAAGGACCATGGCCAACTCCGAAAGTGTGCCATTTCATAAACACAAGCTAGCTACTGTAGCTAGTCAGATACCTACCGTACCTACCAGTAGCAAGCAAAGTATACCAACAGCGCTTGCTATCTACATCCCTCTGCTTCGCAAGATCCAAGCAACCAGCAAAACGCTGGCGAAGGCAAACACACTTCTAACCTTGTATGTATAGCCGCAAGGGCAACATTGGCATTGCTACCCACGCACGCAGTGGCATTGTTAGCTACGCAGCAGCATGACGCGAAGAAGAAGGACGCAAGGACTTCTCTCATTTTTTGTTTCCTTGCTTGTTTTGGTGGCCTCGTTTGCTTCCTCCGAAGAGGAGCGTAGAAGACTTCGCACTACCGGTACTGGTACCGGTAGCGAAGATGCAACGTTGAGGATACTTCAAGCTCAAGACGGCGACGGTGCGGAGAAAGAGGATGGTTTGCTTGGAGGAGCTATTTTTGGTTTCTTGGGGGGTGTTTTGGGGTTGCTAGCTGGGGAGACCGAGAGTTCAGCCCCTAGCGTAGTACCTACCTATGCCGCAACGCCTTATCCAACACCTTTGCCTAGCCAGGCTCCCACTCCACCAACTATCCCAATCTCTCAGGAAGCAACTCCCATCACCAACTACACGGAATCGCATGCCCCAAATGGCAACGGCACCGATCCTTTCAACGCGTCCGAATCGGTGCTCATGGCAACCGCTGTTCCTACACGAGAGACGGCATTGACGTCTTCCTCCACTCATGGCCATGGAACGGTTTGGTTCGAAGACTAGCTAGACTTCTACTAGACTAGTATGCAAGCAGCGGTTGGTTCTGAACAGCGTACGTCAGGATTCAGGCGCTTGCGAGACGAGAAGAGTTGGCTTTGCTCGGTCTCGGTTCCCGGTTCCGGCAGTGTTCTGCCCTGTTTGCTTGGCTTCGGCTCAGCAGATAGGCAAGGCTCTGCTTGAGTTTGATTCTGGTTCTACTCTTCCCATGCCTTGGTTCTGGCCGCCTTTGCTCGGTTTTGCTTTGCTTTGCTTGCATGGGCTTGCTAGCTAGGCATTGCTTGGTTTGGCCCGGCTGGGTTCTCTGGCTTTGTTGTTGTGGCACCTCTCTGGTTGGCTCTTGTCCCGTTTGTTGGATTTCTTGGCTAGGCTTGGCCCTTGTCCTTGTCCTGGTACCGGGTTGGGTTTGGCTTTTGCTTTTCTTGGCAATGGCTTTGTTAGGCACTGCTTGGCCCAACCTTTCTCTTTGTTTCGGTTTCCATCACAGTGACTTGGCTTTGATTGGCTATTGTATGGTCTGGTTTCTCGATCAGACACTTCATGGCTGGGCATGGGCATGGGCTTGGTTCTCGCTATGGTTCTTTTGCACGAGCTTGGCCGTGGCTGCTCGGCTGTTGCTTGGTTGCAGCGAAGCGCGGAGATACTTGGTTGGAGCTGGGCTAGTACCGGTATGCCATATTTTACTCCGCCTTTTGAATGGTTGGAGCGAAAGGGAGCGGCGTCCGTGATGAAGGA